GTTTGGCTTTGTTTTTCATGTAAATTGTCAATTAAATGAATAGATTTTTTTACCATTGGGTTTGGAATTTGTTGCCATTGCTAAAAAGTAAAAAATTGGAAACCATTTTCCCACAAAAAATGTGGGAAAATAAATTCAAACAAAACAAAAGAAATGTCACCATGTGAAGAAAATGTGGAAATCCAATTCCCAAGAAAATTATTCCCATCAAACAAGCAAATTGGTGGAAGTTGGAATTTGAATTTCTAGTTCAATGGAAAATTTTCCATATCAAACACAGCCTAAGTTCGAAGCCTCAACAATCAAGAAGAATACAAAAAAATTAGAGAGTTCACTCATCCCTAAAGAATGATGAGGATAAAGTAGAAGTTTCTGTCAATCACATCGCTTTTGAAGAAGCTTCCAACTCAAAATTTGAGTCTGAAAACTCTTCAATAACAGATGAACCTGAACCAACTCTATCAACATTTGAAGAAGGATGACAAACTATTGTGGATGACTTGAAACAATTGAATTTATGGACCGAAGAAGACCCAAGACCAGAGTTCGAAAGCACTCTCCTTAGTAAAAAAGAGGAATCCGAGCATATCCATTTGCTTCAGGAATACAAAGACGTATTTTGTATGGTCTTACAAAGAAATGCCGGATTAGATCCAAAGGTTGCAGTGCATCACCTTGTAGTGAGACATGGAGTGTGACTGATCAATCAACCTTAAAGAAGATTTTGACTAGAACTAATTCCTCAAATTGAAGTAGAAGTCAACAAACTTATTGAAGGTGTATTCATACGTGAAGTAAAGTACCCAACATGGATTGCAAACATTGTTCCTATAAAAAAAGAATGGACAATTATGAGTCTGTGTTGACTTTCGATATCAGAATCAAGCATGTCCAAAAGATGATTTTCCACTTCCAATAACAGAGTTGATGGTGGATGCAACTACCAAGTATATAGTCCTATCTTTCATTAATGGGTCTTCCGGATACAACCAAATACAAAATAATCCAAAAAATGAGGAGCTTACATCATTCCATACTCCTAATGGCATATATTGTTACAAACTTATGTCTTTTGGATTAAAAAATGTAGGGGCAACTATCAGCGGACAATGCAAAAGATTTTCGATGACATACTGCATAAGAACGTGGAATGCTATGTAGATGATCTTGTTGTTCAAACAAAGAAATGTGATGATCATTTATAAGACCTGCGCGATGTTTTCAAAAGAGTCTGAAGACATCAATAGATGGTGTATTTGCTAAAGTGTACATTTGGTGTCACATTTGAGAAATTTCTTGGCTTCATTGTTCGACATCGAGGCATTGGAATAGATTAATCAAAAGTCTACGCCATAATCAACATGCTAGAGCCAAGCAATGTGTATGAGTTAAAGGGTTTTTTAAGGAAAGGTTGCATACATTGAAGATTTATTTCCAATCTTGTCGGACGTTGTCATCCATTCAACAAATTGGTAAAAAAAATGTACCATTTGAGTGAGATGATGCCTATTGAAATGCTTTTCAAAGCATTAAGCAATATTTATCTCATCCACAAGTACTAGCAGCTCCAAATCCAAGAAAGCCACCGATTGTCTTTGTTGTAGCGCAAGAATATTCTTTAAGAGCACTTCTTGTCCAAGTCAATGATGAAGGAAAAGAGAATCGACTCTATTATTTGAGCCATAGACTGGTAGGTGTTGAAATGAAGTATTTGCCTATTGAAAAAATATGCCTTGAGTTGATCTTCGAGTCTAAAAGGTTGAGACATTATATGCTATCACACATAATCAATCTTGTTTCAAAGTTTGATTCATTAAAGTACATAATGTCTAGGCCGATTATTTCCGAAAGGATTGGAAAATTGGCACTTCCGTTGTTTAAGTTCGATATTAAATTCATTCCACAGAAGGCCATTAAAGGATAAGCTCTGGCAGATTTCTCCATTGAGCATCCAATTCTGGTGGAATGGGAATATCCTGAAGACCTTCTAGATGAAAAAGTTATATTTGCTGAAGTTATACCACTATGGAGGCTATACTTTGACGAGGCATCTCGAAGCTTTGGTGCCGGGGCAGGAGTAGTCTTTATTACTCCACGTGATCTTGTCAAGCCTTACTCATTTACCTTAACAAAGAAATGTTTAAAGAACGTGGTGGAATATCACGTCCTTATCCTTGGCTTGGAGACAACATTAGATATGAGTGTCCATCAGCTGGAAGTGTTTGGAGATTATAAATTGATAATCAACCAACTTTTAGCCGAGTATGAATTCCGTAATTCAGACCTGAAGTCATATCATGAATATGCTTCAACGTTTATGAAACGATTTAATCCGGTAAAAATCAAATTCGTGCATAGAAGTGAAAACAGAGAAGCTGATACCTTAGCTAATTTGGCCATTATTTTAGCTAGATCGGATGAAGACTTTTCTCACCCCATATCAATTGTTTAAAGATGGGTGCTTTGTCGTTGTTGCCTAATAATCTGAAAGAAAACAATAATGTTAAAGTAATCGATGATGAGGAAAGAAGAGATTGGAGATAACTAATAATCAATTTCCTTCAACATTAAAAGTTACAAGATAATCCAAGACGAAAGACTGAAATCAAGAGGCGTGTATCTCGTTTTGTCTTTTTAAGGATACATTTTATTGAAGATCATGTGATGGAGTTTTCCTTCGATACTTAAGTAATGATGAAGTAACACGTGTCATAGAAGAAGCCCACTTTGGAATCTGTGGTGTTCATCAATCTGAACCCAAAATCCATTTTCGAATAAATATGATGGGGTACTACTAGCCAGCTATGGTACAAGACTCCATGGATTATAGATGAAATATGAAGCTTGCCAAGTCCATGAAAATTTCATCCACCAACCCCTGGAACCATTACATCTGACTGTAGTTTCTAGGCCATTTGATGTATGAGGTTTTGGTGTAATTGGACCTATAACTCCAAAGTCTTCAGTCGGGTATTCATACATCCTCGTCGGGACTGACTACTTCTCTAAGTGGNTACATCCGACAGTAGCTTCATGGCCATTCGATGCATCGGGTCTTGATGTAATTGGTCCCATACCTCCAAAGTCTTCAGCAGGACATTCATATATCCTCGCTGGAACCTACTACTTCTCTAAGTGGGCTGAAGTCGTACCGTTGAAGGAAATAAATAAAGAAAATGTTGTGGATTTCATTCTTATTCAGTTCATTTATCGATATGGGGTCACGTGACACATCATCACTGATAATAGAAAACCCTTCTACAATAGCCACATAAATAATCTGTGTGCAATGTTTAGATTCAAAATATATAACTTGACAATATACAGTGTAGCAGCTAACGGGTTAGTAGAGGTATTCAATAAAACTATGTGTAGACTACTAAAAAAGGTTTTTTCCAAATAAAAAAAAGATTGGCATGAAAGAATAGGTGAAGCCTTATGGGCTTATCGAACTCCAACACAAGCCATCCCTTACGCCTTAGCGTATGAAGTGGAAGCTGTACTTACTTTAGAGTATCAAATCCCGTCACTTCTAATTGCCATCCAAGAGGTTTGGCAATAGAAGAAAATGCTTGTCTTCGACTGGAAGAGTTAGAAGCTTTG